TATTTTGTGAACCTGAGGGTTAAAGCAGGCGAAGTCAATGGCATCTGCAAACTGGATGACTCTTGCCCATATTCTTTTGTAAACTTTATAAGTGCTTGGTCTTCTGGAGCTCAGGTATGTAGAGGTCACCTTAGAGGAGCAGTCATGACAGGCTATTCTTTCTCTCCCAAGAACTAGACCATTAACTGGAGGTGAGATGCACACAGGTGTATTGCCCCCAGAAGATCTCATCTGACAGGTAGCGGAACTGGGTGCTGATAACTGAGATCAAGTCAAAGAGGCAACCAAGGCCAATAGAGAATCACTGCAACAAATTATTTCTGACAGTGGTCTTTTGAGAAATCTCAAAATGGTGGGGACTGGAGGGGTGGGGACTTAGTAAAATCTTTACTTTCAATGCATCAACTCCCAACACTTCCTGGCATAGACCCCTGGTGTAAAACTATTCTAGCTTGTGTAGACAGAATTCCCCTTAAGAAGTCTGGGTGTAGAGACCACTTGCTGTGGTCCAGTTGGGAGCAGGGTAGGAAGTGATAATTTGTTGCATGTCTTCTGATGTCCATTGGTGGAGAAAACGTTCCTGCAAAGGGTGCATCCTTTACTGATCCTACTTAATTATAAGGGCAATAGAGACCATTGTCCCAAAGATCATCAGGCAGTGAAATGGCAAGAGGTAACGAGAGCAAAGTTCCAGGGCAATCCAGTTCCTTACCACCAGTACGGTAGAGATATTGTATTCAGTAATGTGTTAAACCGGGCTCCCAGATGGACTCCATCTGGGAAAAGGAAAAGACTGGGAAAAGTGGTCATCTAAAAAATGACTAAGGCATATATCAAAGAGCGCCCTTGGATTTATCCAGGAGGGCTACATTTGATTTCTATGTGTGTCTATCTCCTCAGTCTTTTTTCAGTAGTTTTTTACATGTGGGTCATGCTTTATTGAAAGTTACTTGTAATGAGGAAGAGGCGCTTTTTATGTTTGTTTATAGTAATGTTATGTGTCTGGCCAACCTCATGCGGGCCACCTCGACCAAAGGGGATGACTTCAGGTGCTGGACATCCTCTCCCTAAAGGGGTATCATTTTGACATCCCATTGTAAAGAAATGGTTTGTGCTCAAACTTGCTCCACTCTTCCAGAATTGTGTATTTTAGTCATCGTAGGGATATTAAAGCTCTCCTCCTTGAGGAGTGCTGAAATACTTCCTCAAAATACTTCTGCTGCTCTGCACGGGGCTCTGCAGGATCCTTCATTTTTAAGGCCATCTTTAATGGCCCTTACAAAGAGAGGAACATGGGTAAATTCAAAACCTACATATAAATTATCCTAATACAGATCTTCACCTTCAAAAGTGTCTAAAGATGGTTGATTGGCCTTAGAAGGCTCTAAGAAACTGGTTTACTGGTTCTGGGAAGAGAACTGGGCATTATCAAAGTAGGTCCCTGTGCAGGGCAAATTGAAGCAAACTCTTTCAGAGACTCCTGGACAACTTGTGTAAGACTCCTGGACAACTTGTGTAGTAAGTCTGGCTGTCTGCTTGTTGTCGTCACCCTTATCCCTTGTTGCATGGACAAAGCAGGGTTTACGCAGAGTTTTGCCAGCCACAGGCTCAGCAAACATTGGGTCTAGGGCAAGAATGATGACAGTAATAGGGATATCAACAAGAAGAACCAGTACATCTCCTTTGATGCTGTCTAGATCTGGATGAAGAATTGGCCTTGAATGACCAGGAAAGGTCTCTTATTTCTCTGGAGGGGTTCTGGTATTCATATCTTGCAGGGCTAAATGAAAAAAGCCCATTATTCAGCCCTGAGAAAAAGATCTCCTAACCTTCTTAGGAAAGGCAGGCTTGAAGGAGACAGTGACAGATCCATGGTTAGGTTCAGGACAGAAGGATACACTCTACAGTAGTCTTCTGAGAAAACTGAAATGGTGGGAAAATCTTTGTGAAATTTTCACTGATCTTTGCATCTGTGAGATTCATGGCTCAGGGTACAGTCACACCCATGCCTGGAGTCAATCCTGGGACCTTAGCCTCTGGGTCATTTGCCTTCCCCTGGATCCACTGTCTCTGTGTGAGACTTTACATTTCCTACTACCTGCACTGTCTAGGTCTCTGGATCCACCTACCTATCAACCCTCAATAAATAGTTACTTCCTGTTCCTGTGTTTGCCTGTGTATAGGTTCTGCTTTATGCTACCTGGGTATGCTTATATCCTGTCTTTGAATTACAGGTTTCTGATCTAGGTCTTGTCCGTCACCTGCTCCTGTATTGTTCTTTGGTACCATGCCTTCTGTTTTTGCAGACTTGGACTGGATTCTGACGTTGCTGCTCCAGGATTGTCCCTTGGTACCGTACCTTTTTTTGTTGCTGATCCAGACTGGATTCTGTTGTTGATCTGCTGTTCCCCAGGTGCTACGATATTGAGCTTCCAGTTACAGACCCTGGCTTGAACCTTACTGTGAGTTACTGTTTACTGTATATACTGCCTGTCTATAGTCCTCTTGGTCTTGTAGACTGTGTGCACCATCGCTTGCTGAATCCTTGTGTTTCTCCTGGCTGCGAGTTTCATACCTGTCACCTCGACTGCTACCGGGATAGCAAAACTACTGGTCAGGAAGTTGAAGTGACGGGTAGGACCCCTCGGCAGGCCTAACGGGTACACTCTGCAGAAGGCTAAGCATGAAACAGAAGAGCAGACTGAGTTTTACAAGAAACCCATAAGAAAGGAATAACAGCACCTACCTTACAGAACCATCAGGGGGGCACAGGAGATTGCTGACCACAAGGGGACCTACTACAGTATAAACAGATTCCTTTCAACTAGGGATACAGAGGAAGTTTAAATAGCAGGTGACGTCACTGTGCCAGGTCTTCACATCAGGTGCAGCTGACAGAGCTACCCACGGCTTAAATTTCGTCCAATTTAGCTGGAATCGGATAAAATTCAAGCCATGTATGGCCAGCTTAAAATTTGTAGATAGCTAAAAAAATGCATACATAATTTTTACTAATAAACAATACCTCCCTGGTTGTATTTCTGACCTTATTATAATACACCTTCCTGTATATACAGTATTTTAAAATTAAATTGTACACTAGGCTAACAATACACCTCCTAAAATGATTGCCTCAGCTCCCTAATTAAATTACATGTTCCACCTACAATGGCTTGCTAGATACACAGCAAAAAAAGGTGCCCTGGAGATGTTTTTGAAATGTTGGCATTTATGCCACCCGGCTCAGTAAAGAGGGTGAATGTCCCCAGCAGGGACAGAAAAATGAAGATGTCCATTTCACTGTAAAAATGTCTTCTCTCTGGCTGCACGATAAGTGCGTGCACATTATTTAACCAACACCGTACAACTGCAGCTTTTTACCTGGAGATGGAAGGGTTAAACACAGTCTGGGTTGGTCATGTGAGCTTTTGCTGCCTATCATGTCTAAGCAGGAAGTGAGTGCAGTAAGGAAGTGTCAGAGCCAGGCTTTTTGTAATGCATTTCCCTGTATAGATGGTGCATTGCTGCATCTCCTGGCCGGGTACGTATTTGTCCTGCTGATTTCAGTAAATAACATGTGAGTAGACGTTGTGGCTGACTGGCCCTTTAATTCCTGCCACATATGGATTACACAGGTTCTATGGCTGGTCACAGGAGATATGACCATGACCCTACAAGTCAGATGTTTTAGTAATTAAAGAGAAAGCCTGACAACCCAGAAGGACTTCCCTGCTGATCTCTCTCTCTCTCTCTCTCTCTCTCTCTCTCTCTCTCTCTCTCTCTCTTTCCCCTTCTCCCTCAGTCCTTCTCCTTCTCCCTCAGTCCTTCCCCTTCTCCCTCTCTCCTTCCCCTTCTCCCTCTCTCCTTCCCCTTCTCTCTCTCCTTCCCCTTCTCTCTCTCCTTCCCCTTCTCTCTCTCCTTCCCCTTCTCTCTCTCCTTCCCCTTATCCCTCTCTCCTTCCCCTTATCCCTCTCTCCTTCCCCTTATCCCTCTCTCCTTCCCCTTCTTCCCCTTCTCCCTCCCTTCTTCCCCTTCTCCCTCCCTTCTTCCTCTTCTCCCTCCCTTTTCCCCTTTTCCCTCTCTCCTTCCCCCTTTCTCCCTCTCCCCTTCCCACCCTCTCCCTCTCTCCCCTTCTCTCCCTCTCCCTCTCTCCCCTTCTCTCCCTCCTATATATAATCAACTTGGGCACCGTGGCTTTACTCAGTGTCCACCAGCTATTGGCATGCCGCAGGACACAATGGCGTTACGGGCACTGCCTGGCACATATACTGTCTTCATGAGTGTTAGTGGATCTCCGCAAGTCTCCGCACATTCTATCATCACAGTCTCTGTAAAATATACCAAAGTCACTGCTCTCCTGTTGTCCCTGCTGTTTCTGTATGATTAGATTAATGTTGTCTGTGTGGAACTACAGCTCCCAGCATGCCGAACTGACATCACTCCTAGCTCTGTAAAATTCCAGGTCCCATCTGGAGTCACCACTTTGCATGTAGCACTACAACTCCCAGCTGGTCATCCATGTCCATCTCTCCTCTCTCTTTACATCTACAAGTGGCAGCATACTCATGTGGATGTTGGTGTATATCATGTATTAAAGCAGAACTCCAGCATCTCTATTGGGGAGATATCCCCTCACTTCCTGTCCATGAGAGGGTGCTCTCTATAATGAGGAACTTTACCTACCAACTTAATGTCTCCCAAAACTTTACTATCAAGGCATGCCAACTGTTATGATTGTCGGCGTGCTTATTACAACTCTCAACCGAAATTTCAAGCCCTCAGATGGCTGGTGCCATAGCTGATCACATGAGCAGCACCATGGCAACTGCAATCCAAATAGAGGCTACGATGGCACCTTCCTCGGCTATAAAGAATAGGAGGGTGTAATTCCACTTTAAATAAACATAACTGCATAATAATTGTCTTAATGTCATATAAAGAATTGGCTTGATCTGTATTTCTCTATCATTTAGGTTACATTTTCTCTGTCCGACCAGATACACACTTTTTGGTAGCCATTGGGAAATGTGGGGGAGCCATGACCCGTTTGTGCATGAGATCATACTCTTCTCTTTGTCTTGTCGTGGACTCACATTGACAATGCAGGTAAGGGGATTATATTTCTGAAACATGTCTTTTTTTTGGTTAAAGGAGTTATTTGCTTCTTGTTCTGTGTGACACGTCACCTGAACAGGAAGTGAGATGAAATTCCTTGATGGTGACAGACAGCTATAAAATGCTGACAGAGATTCTAACCCTTTTACAGTTTATACAAAACAAAAAAGCATTGTTTGGTTTTAAATACCAATGTTGTTTTTGATTTTTCTCCTAGGTTTTATTCAACCTCTTGATACCAGACCACACCGCTGATGCCTTTTCTCCACCACGGCCACCCCCAAGTTCTCTTGGGGACCACATAGCCGAGCTGCTTCTGAGAGGTTTAGGCCGCTGGGATGCAGAACACTTTCTCTTCATAGCAGAGCATGGCTATGTATATGAACACAATACTGCATTCTTCCCACTTCTCCCAATGGCTGTCACAGGGTTGGCACGAGGGCCTCTAATGCCCCTGGCAGGGGTGCTGACCTTGCGGAGTCGGATACTCCTTTCCTCCGCCCTCCTGAACTGTGCTTGCTCCACACTGGCTGCCGTCTCTTTGTACCTCCTGGGTTGTGTGACTCTGCAATCTCGACGTACCTCCTTCCTCGCTGCACTTTTATTTTGTATGAGTCCTATTTCAGTTTTTATGACTGTTGCCTATTCGGAGAGCCTGTATGCCCTGGCCACGTTCAGCGGCCTGTGGCACTTGCAGAAGAATCAATTGCTAATTGGCAGTGTGCTTCTGTCGCTGGCCACGGCAGCCCGTTCCAACGGACTGGTGAATGCAGGATTCCTGGTATACTCTGGGGTGAAAGCATTTTTGCAGCAAAATAGTGGTTGTGTCCCATTAACAAAAAGACTGTGTGGAATATTGTTAATGATTCTACCCTTTGCTGTTTTCCAAGGCTACTGTTATTATAGATTTTGTTTCCCATCCTATGGAGAAGATCACCTACCTGAAGAACTCATACAACTGGCAAAAGACAAGGGATACCGAACGCGTGGAGAGCCAGTTCCTGTCTGGTGCTCATACAGTATTCCGCTGGTGTATTCTCACATCCAGAGTGAATACTGGGGTGTTGGACTGTTCCGCTACTTCCAGCTACGACAGTTGCCCAACTTCCTCTTGGCTACCCCAGTCGTAGTTCTGGGGATCTATGCAATATTCAAATATGTTTCCTCTAACATGGAACTATGCAGCACTCTGGGATTGTGCGATGTGCAGAAAAAGGGCTGCTATGGATTCTATGGACCTCAAGTGTTTGTCTATGTGGCTCATCTCTCGTTCCTGATGGCATTTGGAGTTCTCTGCATGCATGTGCAGGTATAAGACCAGAAACAAGCCTTGATGCTGGGGTGTAGCGGGAAGGAGAATGGTGGCTGTATGGTAGAGGATTGTATAATGTTCAAACTTTAAAATGAGCCTGTGCTGTGTCTATGTTTGATTTAATAGTGTCCCCACCAGCAGCACATACTTACCCTTCTCCTTGCCGTACCATTTGGTGCCCGGGTGCAGACAGAACTACCTGGTACATCCAACGCTTTCACAGAGCTTTGTGTAAGCTCCACGTTTAAAATGAGAAGGACAACTTCTCTTTGCTGCAAGTGGCCAAACAGAGCAGATGGAGAGCGAAGGGAAAGGAGTATGTGCAGATGGTGGAGCCTCCATTAAAGTTTCTTTGCTTTGCATGGGCAATGCACATGTTCATGTTATGGAAAACCTGTCACAAGACAAATTTGAGGCTAACTGATGATGCTAGATGTCTGTCTGTCATGATAACCTACTGGCTTCAATGATTTGTGAGGTGAGTCATTTTTGTGGAACCCAGTTTGCACACTATATTCTGCATGATTTTCTCCAAATATGTGAAGTTGAACCTGTTAGAGTCAGAGACAGCCAGGCACGTAGCAATTTTTTAGAAATTTAACAGTGGCAGCCCTCAAATTTGTGTTATTTATGTTGTGTTGTGGTCTGTCAGTAAAGCTGAAAGCACGACTTGACATTGCAGTTTTACTATGTGTTACACCGATGCACACTAAAGCACAATCCTCATTGTCACCCCAGTGCACCTTGCCAAGGCACCTCATTGCAAATGTGTTTCAGTGCATCACAACATATAGATAGGAACCATCTGAGCTACGTACGGTATTGTGCTTGTGGCAATGCACCACACAGGCATAAAGGTAGCCTCACATTAATACTTCACAATCAAAGGGGCCAGTATTACAAATATCACATTATTACGTTAAACAAAAAGGTTCTTTTTTTTGCCATGAATAAAAAATACTGCTGCTAGACCTGAAGCCTAGGCAGCAATCACATGATCTCTGATCACCAACCATTACTGTAGATCATCTAAATAAGGTATTCAGTGCTTTTATACATATTGATAATATTTAGACTCATTTTCATGCATATGGCTAGTGGAAGATCACTATATACAGATTGGGCAGCTCATCATGAAAGATGCATTTTTGGTATTTTCCTTTATTCTTTTTTCTTGAATGCGTTACAATTTTGATTGCATTGATTCAAACACTCACATTTTGGGCTATTGTTGATGGGCTTTGGGCTCGGCCGATAAGTGTGCTTTTGACGTCCATTTGAGACCATTTAGAATTAATTGACAAGTCCAACAGTTGGCCTCCTCCTGACCTGCTATAGTTGCAGCTATATAGAGTGAAGCAGTTCTATTGCAAACAAAGGCCTATTAACATACAGTAGATCCTTATAATTTTTATAACTTGACCTTCCCTGACTACATAGCTAATCTACATTTTGCCAACTCCTGAGGCACTTGCATTGGACAGTGGAACAACAGTTTTCAGGGCTTATCTATGAACTCAGGGTGTCAGGCCCAGTAACATAGTAAACTAAATCAGAGAGACTCACAAATGAGGCTTTTGTTGTGAATGACGGTAATACCTGGAATCCTTTAGCATCTTCTCTTAGGCAGGACTTTTATAAATTTGAAGTGGAGTATGCTTGAATCATCCCTACATACAATAGTTTCATGGTATTTTATTTGTTTAGATGTGTGTGTAATGCCAGTTCATGATGATTTCCTGGAACCATTTATGCCAGTGTTTCTTTTTTTTTCCATGCAGGTTGTCACCCGACTACTTTTCTCTTCCTGTCCTGTGCTCCTCTGGTTTTGCTCTCATATGATTGAGGAGAACGAGCCCTGGATATGGGGCCTAGAGAGAAAGAAGGAGGCTTCCAATCCAGCTGTACGCCTGCTAAGGTCCTGGGATTCGCTGCAAACACGAACACGGGTTTTGCTGGGGTATTTCTTAGGGTACTGGGTGATTGGGACAGCCTTACATGTCAATTTCCTCCCATGGACGTAACACAGAAGGCAGCTGGGATCAGGACTAGACTTACTTCTCAACAGCCTGTAGGCAGATATATCTGGCGTGCCCCCCCAGGATAACAACCACAAACAACAAACAATTGTAAAGACGACATAAAATACCCCAATATTGCATTGATGACATCTGTGTAAATGTTATTAAGACAGTAAGGCATTATACAACAATGCAGAGTAGCATATGAATTTGCAACCTACTCTGTGCTGCCACTCTGCTCTGGGGTGGCCGTCAGATGTCTCGGGCGGAGGGTCTCAGCAGGGGCAGAAGCGGAGGGTCTCAGCAGAGGCAGATGTGGAGGGTCTCAGCAGGGGCAGATGCGGAGGGTCTCAGCAGGGGCAGATGCGGAGGGTCTCAGCAGGGGCAGATGCGGTGGATCGCAGCAGGGGCAGATGCGGAGGATAACAGCATGGGCCGATGTGGAGGATCACAGCGGGACATATCCGGAGGGTCTCCGCAGGCGCAGCAGGGGCAGATGCGGAGGATAGCAGCATGGGCCGATGTGGAGGATCACAGCGGGACATATCCGGAGGGTCTCAGCAGGGGCAGATGCAGAGGGTCTCAGCAGGGGCAGATGCGGTGGATCGCAGCAGATGCGGAGGATAGCAGCATGGGCCGATGTGGAGGATCACAGTGGGACAGATCCGGAGGGTCTCAGAAGGGCAGATGCTGCTGTGATACTCCAGAAGGCTGCTATGAGGTCGACAGCAAGCGCCAGACCTTGCGGCAGCCAAATCTACTTGAAAATTTAAAGCGCCAGGAAGGACTGTAAAAATAAATTAAATATATATAAATACAGACAAGGATTCTCTTATACAGACTCTGTGGAGGGCGCCTGTAGGCAGATGCCTATGTTGCCTAGTGGGAAATCCAGCTCTGGCTGGAATGTGTAAATAATGACTGTATATAGTTGCAGCAGATCCATTGCAAATAAATGTGGATGAAAAGGTGAACCGGATGTTTATAATTTTTCTGTTGGACTTCTGAAAAACCTCCTGGAAACTCTAGCACAGTTGTCACCTAGAATGTAACGAGCTTGCCAGTTTTGCTGCATTGATAGATACATAGATTTTCCTTTACTTTCTGTGCTGGAAACACTCTACCAAGCCATTCCCCCTGTATTTTTCTAGAGACAAACTGGTTGGAAGATTTAAATAAAATTTTCTAGTGTCTGTGTCCTTGTTGTAAGATTTCCCTTTACTTCCTGTCCTGAAGATTGACCTTTACTTCCTGTCCTGAAGACAGAACAGGAAGTGAAAGTAAATCCTCTTAGGCCCCTTTCACACAGGCAGTCTAATCAGATTCACCTGTTTTTTAGGTGGATCTGATGGAAGCCCAACATTACTCTATAAGCAGCTGGATCAGAACAGAAGTGTGTCCATCCGAATACACCTGACTCCGTCGGGGTCCAGAAAAAAATAGAGTCCACCAAAACAGAGTGTAGGTCTGTTTTGGTGGACTTGACCGTGATGGATCAAAGGTTACAGAAAATTGTTATCAATACTTACAGTAATTTTCCTTTCCTGTAGTAACATCATGTCAGCCTACACTGGGTCAGGCTCCTTCCCATGACCCCCAGGACAACCCCTCTAAAAACACATAAATTAAAGACTCTCCCTTTCCATTAACATTCCTGTGACGGAACACGAGGGAGGGGCAAAAGCCTAGGCTTACAATGTTACTACAGGAAAGGAAAATAACGTTAAGTATTGATAACAATTTTCCTGTAGCACATCATCGTCAGCCTACACTGGGAAAAAGCTAGCACAAAAAACATGGTGGTAAACTAAACAATAAAGACACGCACACCCAAAAAAGACTGCTAGAAATTTAATAAGAAAATTCAACTAGTGTAGATTGGAGGCAAGGACCACAGCCCCAAAAGACCTGGCCGGTCCACATCCAACTGGTAATGTTGAATAAAAGTATTTGGGGACTTCCAGCTGGCAGCCTTGCGGATCGTTTCTCCAGAAACCTTGGCATAACTTGCCCATGATGCCGCTGCAGCGCTAGTGGAGTAAGCCAAAACCTCTTCAGGAGGGGAAAGACCCAGGGACTTGTAAGCCTTCTTGATCGTCTGGACTATCCAGGAGGAGATGATTCTGGCTGAAGCTGCCCGACCCTTCTTTGGATCTTCTGGGAGCACAAGTAGATTATCCACCATCATAAACTCTTCTGTTCCTCGAATATAAAAAGACAAAATCTGAAAGACATCCACCCTAGACCAATCTTCTTGGCTAGACAAATCCTGACCCAAAGGCAGAGATGGCAGTATCATCTCCCAGTTAAAATGGAAAGTAGAAGCTACCTTGGGTAGAAAGGAAGGAAATGGACGCAAAACAATCTTGTTATGAAACATTTGACAATGCGGATGCTTTGATGACAAAGCCTGGATGTCACAAACTCGTCTAGCCGAAATGATGGCTGTTAGGAAAACTGCTTTCAAAGTGAGGAGTTTAGAAGGGATAGTATCATGTGGCCAGAAAAGATCTTTCATCAGCACTCAATGGCAAATCCAGATGGTTTCAATGGAGGCTTAATTTTGATCACTGCCTTCATAAACTGGATCACCAATAATTCTTCAGCCCAGCGAAAACCAGTGAGGGCTGATAGCGCGGAGACTTGAACTTTGAAGGTATTATAACTTAGGCCTTTGTCCAATGCGGGGAGGCGTGCCTGGCGGGGGGGCGGGAGGGAGCTGCGGCCGTGACATGTAAAATTCTATTATATGTGCAGCTACCCCGAAAGTAAGACCTAGGGGATCTCTGTAATATAAGACCTACCACCGAACTACAGAAATCCCTGAAGATAGCACTAGGTCTTACTTTCGGGGAAACAAGGTATGTTACGCCCATCGGAAAATCTCTGCTGCAATTCTCAACAGAGGCATACTTCTTGTCCCTCCCTGATTGGTGAAATAGGCCACTGCCGTCTTGTTGTCCATCAAGAGGTGAACATGGTTCCCTCACAGGGAAGGTGCAAATACCTTCAGTGCCTCCCATGCAGCCATCATCTCCATCTTCCTTGAGCCAACTGGGCCAAGCTATGAGCTCCCCAACCCTTCCATCAGCTGTTCGAAGGAGCTGACCAGAAAATTTTCATACTATAGGAGCCGTCAGCCAATGAGCTGCCCGGTCTCATTGGGTATTCTTACAACAGGTTTCCTCGATTGACACACTCCTAAATGTTGATGGAGGAATCTGCTCTATTTTTCTCTTTCAGCCCGCGAAATAGATCAGTGTATGGCCAGCTTAAGTTATCACTAGAACAGGTGTCCTCATCAGAAGATTTCCTCTCACTTCCTATTTCAGTAACATTTGGGATTCCCCACACTTTCTTTGCTGGACAATTAGAAAGGGAAACCCTTCCCCAGATATACTTCACCACGGCCATACAAGTTCAAATCTGTGCTCTGTTTCCTTTAGATTTACCAACATTTATAGACTGACACCCCCACTGTTAGAAATGATTTTCAGAAATAATCTTAAAAATTAAACAAATACTAACAATGTCCAGAATAGGAAATTCCATTTATCTGATAGTTGCATATGTATAATAATGTAAATTTAAAAACAATTAAAATAAAAGGGTTAAATAACAAAGCAGAACATGGGGATAACAGCGGGGTGGTTGGATGGTGACAGGCCTGCAGGCCTAATAATATGTACAGAGTTGATTCTAAAGCTGGCCATACACTGATCTATTTTTTTTTTTTTTGTTCAACCGCAGGCTCTATCAACAAAACAGTGTTTCAATTGAGGAATCCCGCTGTTTACATTGTATTCTGATAGGTTGCGGCGGCCCCGTCAGAATACCCGACCAGAGCGGGCAGCGCATTAGTTGCAGACTCTGATCGATTGAAGATTTTCCAACCGGCTCCTTCAATCAGCTGATTGAGGGGTGCCGATCGAAAGGGTGCCGACAGCCCCACACACTGTGCGAATTTCAGCCGGTTCCTCAGAAACCCTCCGAAATTCGAAAAGTGAATGGGCACCTTTAGACACTCCTTGGCACTAGTAAAACTGCAACAGTAGTGACTGATTTGTGCATAGAGGATGGAATGGCTTCTGACTACACAAGGAGAATGTATAAGGAATAAACTGCGCAGAGTCGGAGCAGTAACTGATCATGATTGAGGAATCACTACTGCACGCTTCCTATAAGGAGCCATGTACATACATACATACATGTATGTAGCCACTGATCAATAGTCTAATTGGTTAGTATTTTACCAATGCAACCAAGCTACTAAAATCTAATAGAGTATAAATGTTACACTCGAACAGCAAAACTACAAATCATGAAGCCTGTGACTCTAGGAGCAGGTAGATATAGTCATGATGTACGGTTTTCACACTCAGATTGGTAATGGTAAACCTAAGGGGTAACCCTTGTCATACTCTGTAAATCAGATTATACAATCTCTGCACAATCTTCTTCAGATTTACCAACACCATAATATACCTAAACAACCCGTTCACTTTGTATTCAATCAAGCCGGCCCTTGTACTACACCAGTGCATGGTAGATCTAAAGGAGAGTGTACAATCTGATTGGGGGGAATTTATCAAAACTGGAGCAGACAGAATCTGGAGCAGTTACCCATGGCAACCAATCGGCTTCTCTCTTCAGTTTGTTCAGGTAAGATTTGAAAATGAGACAGAGAAGATGATCGGTTAGAGTGCAAATCTGCTCAACATTGAAAAAAAAAAGAGTTGGCAAATACTAACAAACTTACGTGTGTCAGTGCCACTCTCTCCCGACTGCAGAAGTCCCAGCTCCTGAACACTGTGAAGGAGGATGTGTGGGTGGGCTCATGCACAGTTCAGAGCGTCAGAGGGGAGAGGAGGAGAGCGGCACGGAAGCTGAATGCAATATAGAGATGTCACCAGCACACCAGACTCCTTTTAAGTATAGTCAATCGTGAATTTATTCAAAACTTATGCCAAATACACAAGCGCTTTCAGGACCACACAGGATCCCTTCATGGGGCATAGTCACACAGGATCCCTTCATGAGGCATAGTCACACAGGATC